GAAGACCAGAAAGCAAGACTGAAATATTGATCTCATGCTTTGCATATTGTCTTGAGGGTTGGAATGGTTGTGTTTCTTTGCCATTGATACTGTACATGAGCAGATGATTTTTTTTTAACTTTGAAGGCACTTTAGGTATCACATTTTGGAACAAGAATATGCCATTCTTGTTCCAAAATATGATACCTAAAGTGCCTCCAAAATTTTAAAAAAATACTCCATTAAAAAATAGCACCTAGAGGAAGAACACCAAGATCAGTCTTTTTCATTTTTAACTTGTTTTTACAGTGAAAGTTTGTTCATTTGGTGGAAGGGAGTCTCCAACATTCCTGAATATCCATTAAATTTGCAAGTATGGCACTGGCAAGTTATGCTATTTGCATAATGACATCATTACACAAATGACACAAATCACCATGAATGATAGGTAAAATGTAATAAAATTTAAGTCCCTCTTCTTGATTATTTCAGATACAACGGTCTTGTCTGTTATTTCATCAGGATGTCCTGATTGAAATGTGCTCCATTATTTCCCATCTTTGGGGATAAATGGGAATATGTTCAATGGAGCTTCACTGTTTTTTTACCTTGTAAAATGAAAATAACAGCTCCTAGAAATAAAGGGAAAGACTTTGGGTAGTTCCATTATTCTTGGACATCCTGGAATATCATTCCTTTAAAGTCCTTGGCACCAATGGACATTCCATTATGCAAATAGAGATCTGAGAATTAGGAAGACACTTTTAAGGGGTTAGAATTTTAGTCTATCTTGCTCAGTATTATCTACAGAAAGGTACACAATGACTGAACCTTCCTAGGCTGAGAAAGCTAATGAATATGTGGAGTAGGTGTCGTGGGTGAGTGTGAGAGAGGAACAAAGAGTGTATGGATTCACACATTGCACGAGCCATAGTTTTCTGTTTGGGCCTGGTGTCATGTATGAATCCAGCCCTTTGGCTTATAAATCATGATTTGGTCTTAGCATTACATCTGTACCAAGCAATTAGGGCTTGTCCAACAGACAAATATGGTTTATTGCAATGTCTGAACTCATCTTTTTTGTTGCTCTGGTAAGAAAACATGAACTCTAGGCAGTGTCTCAGGTTTCAGGCCCCATGATGCTCCTCCCAGTGATGGATTCTTTTTATTTTTTTTATACCACCTACTGCTGAAAGATGTTCTGGGCGGCTGCATTGAGCAATTCATCCATTCCTCCCTTACATCCTCTCTAAATACTGGGATGGAGTTAAAATGGTACTCAGTGCTGCTCAGTGTTGATTCATGGTGTTCCTAATTTCCAATGTTGGTGCTGTAAGACTACCAGGACCCCAAAACTGGAAAGGGGGTTGATAGAGCACCCATATTATAGAAGAAAGAAAGATACTTTCATTGCAGCCTATACTGTCACACCCAGAATCCATCCCGTTAAAAATAAACTTTTGACACAAAAGCCCATGAAATATGATATTTGCTTTTTGTTTATTTCCTATAGCGTTCCTTTCTCTGCACCAAGGCATTTTGCTTGTGCTGTATATCATCCATTAATGTTGCTGCTTCTGTGTCTGGTTCTTCTTATCTCAATGAATTTTTAATGAACAATTGGAGAGAGGAATAAATTATCAGCATTCTACCAAAACCGCCACCAGCTGACAGTTTCTAATTGAACATAATGGTTTTATTAGTGTATTTGACTAGACTTTAATCAGACTTGTTATTGTTAAAATAATTTCCTGTGATTGTTCTGCTTTTCTTTTAATACTCTGTGTCTCTGAAAATGGATAACAAATAAAAAAAAAATTAGACTTACCTAGCATGAGCTGTTCAGTTGCTTATTCTTGTCAATTCCAAACACAGTACTTCAATTTGGCTCAACAGAGAGATATGAGTAGAATTTTCATTTGGGCTAAAATAATGAAAAGATGTTCAATAAACACCTAGTGATTTATTGCAATGAGAACCTTCAGAAAACTATTCTCAAACTTCCTTCAAAGAAGCATGTTTTAGTTTTTAAATGTGTGCATCCATATACCTAAAAAAACAAAAAACAACCTGCAAAAATCAAGTTTGCTGGATCAAACTGAATGGATGTGTGTGAGAATTGGTAAAAATATTGTCTTAACTATCTACATTAATACAGCAGTATTCCAGTCTGACAGAAAAATGTAATTGTTAAAGTAAATTTCCCATACATCCTGCTTTCATTCATTGACACCTACATTTTGCTGATGGAGGTATTTTAAACACAATTTTCCCCAGTGTAGGCTTTTTAAAAATTTAACATTTTTTTTGTATCTTTCAGAAGCAGTCTTTTTTTTTTTTCCCAAAATTGGTTGTAGCTTATTTTTGATCAGCAAAAATTGAATGCATGCCAGACCTCACATCACTCTGAAGTCCACTGGGAACTGAATGCCCACATCAAAGTTCAATGGAAACTCTCCTGCAATTCTTTTCCATCCATTGTCAAAGATAATCTATTCTAGCACCTTGTCTCCTACAAAGGTCAACCAAATACTCTAATCAAGTACAATAAGATGTTCATTTCAGATATTATGCCAATAAGTAGAGAAGGAAAAATCAGAACTAGTAGCTATAGTGATGTGAGAGGAAGAAGTAACTGTCTATATCTTCATTGTACCAGATGAACAGAGCTTTCATCTCTATAGTATATAAATCCTCATTTGAACGTTTTATGGACTTCTATTGTATATATTGTAGCATGCAGCCAAAAAATAATTCCCTGTACCCATTCTCATTCATTTTGAGAGGGAAGAAAAAAGTTTTGAAAGCTTTTATATGGCTAAGAGGTTTTTGCACATCTGCAGTGTAAGGATGTGAAAATGTCTTGTGTTTATTCTCTTGAGCATTTTGAGAGTCAGTGTGGGGGTGGTGGTTAAGGAGTTGGAGTGGCACCAGGGAGACCCAGGCTTTGTCCATCCTTGGCCACAGAAACTTTCTGGGTGAGTTTGGACCAGTCACTGTCTCTCAGCCCAACCTATCTCTTGGTTATTGTAGAGAAAAAATGAGAACGGTAGATATGCTTAGCTTTGTAGCCCTACTTATTTTCCAGGCCTGGTATCATATCAGCAGCCAGATCAATGGCTGGTAACTTCTTAATAACAACACTAGTCTTGCTTTTTATCTTTATTAAAATAAGAGTTGTGCAGATTGGCAAAAGTTCAAGCAAAGCAATTCCATTGAAGATGCCACACAATCTCCTCACCCCAAAGAGTGAAAGCAAAACATCTCCCTCAAAGATATGCATAATCTGACTATGGGTTAACTACTGGAACTGTTAAAGGATACTTTGGTTATCATAAGTGTTGGTGGATACTGTGAGATGACCCAGAGCATCTTGTCTAGGTAGCAAGAAGTACCTCATTGAGACAATTCACAGCCACCTCATACTGGTCTAATTAAAAACAAATTGTAACCCCCACCCCTTTTTTTTCACATCTCTTTGCAGAATACATTATATGCCCCTGGGGAGAAGTTCCATCACTGTTGTTATTGCTGCTGTTTTGTTATTACCTGTATTTTCAAATATAAACTAAAGAACTACTTTTTGAGTTAGATGTGTGGGGTGTAAAGTGGAATGCCAGTACACATATTTAGCTTCCTGAATTAACAAGAAATAATTTGTAACTATTTCATGCACTATTTATAGAAACATTCTTCCATGAATTCACCATCTGTGATTATTTCTCTCCCCAGCCCCAGTAAACACCTCTGAAAAATAATTAAAGTGTTAAGAGTCTGCAGGAAAAAAAAAAAAAACTTGCTTAGTGAATAAACTCCTTTACCCCCTCTACCTCATGCATCTCTCTCTCTCATATAATCCAGACACGTGCTGCAAGGCCAAGGCACCTTAATTAAAATGAATGCAATTTCACAGCAAGGAGTACAGCAAAAGTGGAACAATTGAAAAAATTGGTTTTTATTTATTTTCTTTCCACTCTTCCCCTTTCCAAATAAGGCTGGATAATATTTTAGCTGGCAAAGGCAATAACACTGCATGGAAAGTGAGAGAAGGGCTTGTGGTAGAAATAGAAATGAATATAAATAAAAAGTAGGTTAAGATTTACAAATCTAGGGTGGTGCCTTTAAAAGTGAGGGTGGTTTCACCTTCATTTTCAATTGTGTATTATGTGTCAGGTATATTATATATATATCAGAGGTAGACAGCCTAAGCCACTAATTCATGGCCACCTCTTTTTGCAGCCCTCAGAACTCCCTTGGATAACTATTGTAAACACTGACAATATATTTCCCCACCATTTGGGGAACATGAAAAACACATTGAAATATTGTAGAAATCCTAAAAGAAATTTTTAAAATCGAAGCAACATCTCTGCCCCCCCCCCAAATTACTTCTCAAAGTGTGGGAAAGTAAGTGAAAATCCTAGCTCCCTCCATGCATGTGAGATTGCCTCACCAGTTTTGCATCATGGTCTCATGTAGTTGAGATCATCCATATCTATACGTCACTCACAGCCTCCAATGTTTCTTGCCCTTGCTATATGTGATGCTTCTGAGAAGTAATTCTAGGAACATCCAACAGAGTACTACAACCACTCGGCATCATGGTAGCACAGAAACCAACAAAATCCCTCCAAAACATTTTAAGTAAATCAAAAGAACCTGTAGCCCAAGAAGAAAAAAACAGGAGTCATCTACAACATACAATGTAAGAACTGTAATAACCACTATGTAGGACAGACAGGCAGAAGACTAGCAGAGCGCATCCATGAACACCAACTGGCAATCAGAAGACATGATGAAAATGCCTTAGTTTCACAACACAGAGACAGACTCAACCACAATTTCAATGGGGAAACTGTTAACATTTTAGATCAAGACAAATCCAAAAATGGTAGGGAATTCCTGGATGCTTAGCATTCAAACAAATCAGCCATCAATAGACACTGAAAATAAATCCCATTTACATACTATTTAAAAGATACAATCAAAAGCCTAGGAAAGAAACAAACAGCTGGGAACACATTCCCTCCAACAACCAACACCTAGATAAGCAAGAAACAGCACCAGATAAACAATAATGGAAGAAACATTACCTAGTCAAAGAACCATTAAGGAGGAAGCCCCACCTCCACCAAAACTGGTAGGACAAGCCACTATATATAAACAGCCTGTAAATGCCTCTCTTCCTCACACTGATGATGTTACCAAGCCTGATAATGAAACATCTGCAAGCAAACAACCAAGCTCAGAGAGCATCAAGAAACCAACAGATTGGAATTTCTTGTGCCATTAGCGCAATCTGTGAAAGGAGAATCTGAATGATTCAAATAATGAGTTCACCAGAGGTGAGTTGAAAGCTGCAAAGTGTAAGTTTTAAGCCTAACAGGAGGACTTTGAACATCTACTGCATGTGTTCTGAAGTATTGGTGACTGTAGAGATATTTTCTGACCCTATCCTTCCTTTACACCTCTGGAAAGGGTTCAGTCCAAATTCTTAAGACCCATATTTCAGGTAGCCCCTTGTATCCCAAATGTAGCACTAAGGAGGGAATCAGGATTGTCCAAAGTCAAAACGGGCTCATGGACTTGTATTATAGCACATTGGTTGAAACTACTGTTTTTCCCCACAGGTTTGGGTTCTTTCCATATCAATGATAACTATAAATCAGTATGGTTCAGGCCTATTTTACAAAAACTTCAACATCTCAGCTTCTCTAGTGAGGCATTCCTAATGATGGGCTACGAGCGTGCACTCAGTGAATTCAAATAGCGTATCAAAGACCTGGAAGTCCAGCAGGGGCAGTCCACTTTGCCTAAAAATGTTTTTTTGAGCAGGCAAGCCTTTTCTTACAAGTCAGCAAGATACCTAAATTACATCACTGTCCCCAAATTTTGGAGGGCACTAACTCTAGCATGCTGCAATGCTCTTCCTACAGCAGTTTTGGAGGGCAGATACAAAAAAGTCCCATATGAGCTGAGATTGTGCCCCTGTGGACAAGGGGCTATTGAAACTATAGCAGATGTCTTGTTATACTGTATTTTTTTATAAGGACTCACAAAACCATCTAATAACTCCTTATCTGATAAAATACCCAGGTAATTCTGATCTTTTTTATGTCCAGTTGTTGCTATCTGATCAGAATGATTTAGTTT